TTTACTTGAATATCTGCTAAGCTACGATTCGGTAAAAAAAGATGAATTTTATGGTGTTGGTAATCCTTGCTCTACACTTACTGTTGCAAAGAGTACCATTCCAAACATTTCAGCAGTGTATTTCGTTCCAAAAACTTCAGCAACAGCAGCCGGAATACAGACAAAAGCAAGAGGAAATGTAGCAAAGAGCCCACAAATCCATATCATGTACATCACTTTTCCTCCATAAGGTGTCACCACCAGAGTGAACAGCAATACTGTCTTTATTCCCAGCAAGAGGAGCATCGTTAACTAAAGAGTTATACATTTATATGTATATAAACCAATGTGAATAAAGTTAAAAACAAATTAAAAATACAAGAAGCCTGAAACCACAGGTAGATAAACAATAAAAAATTTTATAATGTGTATTCCAAACAAGTTTTTAATATCCATACATATTATTCTGTCCTGATTTTGTGTTAAGTATATTTTACATTTGTATCCTTTGATTTCACTGGGGAAAAAACTACACTGAGTACTTATGAACTCGACTGATTAGTTATGTGAGCTGATATTATTTGGATAATCCTTTCCTGTGCGTTACATTGAATTATTTTAGACTTTCTGTCGAAACAGTCGGTTTCTAAATTTTATTTTTTAAAACTATTTTCACTGTTTTCGTATCTCAGAGTAGTATTATAGAAGTTTAGTTTCGTTTTATGAGCAAAGCAAAGAATGGGTTATGTTGTTACCGGGCTAGGGATTGGGACTTGAATTTTATCATTATAAGCCTCCTAGTTAACCGCTGAGCCATAAAGATTGTATACACTTTATACAACAAATATTACTTTAATAATTATTAATAACAACACAAGTCACTTCGCTTTACACATTCTTACCTTGTAAGATAATTTGTCCTGAAGTAAGCCCACAATCACTCGGCTAAGGGCATGAACAGCTCCAGCTACAGAACCAATAGTGGACAGAAACGTGTCGTCTGATATAAACGTCTGTCCATATGTCTGTAAAACAGTAAGAAGGTATTTTTGAACTAACAATAACTTTCTTTCACTAATCAGGTGAAATTGTGTCAAAATAGTCCTGGTGTTGGTACTTAGTTTGTAACTACAAGTTCTTCTTATTTTATATTAGGTTTGAACACCACAATCAATATTTTCATACATAAAGTTTTAGTTACATGCAATATCTCAAGATGGTTTATGATGAGTATAGTGTTAATTAATTTATGTAAGTCGTAGTTTTGGGAGTTAGAAACTTTCATTATCTCAGAAAAAACAAATTAATATCAAGTTGATACACTTACCTTATAAAAAACATTCACAAACATGAATGGATGATGTGAGCAAATACAAACTATAGATAAAAGGTAAAATTCTCTCACTTTAAGAGCTTCCTTTGGTGACACATGAAGTTCAACTGGACCATTACTGTACGTTTGATCGTCATCAACGTTCACATTGGCTGTATCTTCTTCCAATGATTCACATAATTTATCATTATTTATTGTTGTTCTACAGTCCAAATCTTTCGAAACTGTTCCACCAAGTTCTTTACTACATGATTGTCTTGACGTTTCGTACACAATAGTTAGTTCGCTGGAAATTGTTTCTTCCTGTGTTAAAAATATGAATACCGTTGTTTCCTATGTATATAAACTGAAAATACCATATAATCATTTTACTAAACGCTGTTTCGTTCGTTTATATTAAACGTCTTTAGCTCTGAGTCACACCTTTAAGTGTGTATCCTAAAATGTCAAGATGTCTCTTGAACGATAAAGTAACACTACAGTTGTTAACATAAGCAGCCGAAATATTGGGGAAGAAATAAGAAAACAAGTATTATTAAGAAAACTTATCTGGAACACATATAGTAGTGGTACTTACCAATATTTTGCAAAACTCGCACGCTCATTGCTAGGTGTAGACAAGCGTTTCAAAAAATGTAACAGAAACAAGAAAATACTTCTACTGCCATATTTTGGTATATAAAGGAGTTCATTATTTTCCAGGTTACTCGTGTTCATATGTTC